ACGCTCCAGCTGAAGGATTTATTTTTTTTTGAAGGATGCGCAGCGCACGCATCAGAGACAGCGGGAGCCCTGAGAGAGGGAGAGAGACTTCCTAGTGCCACGTAGGGAGCAAAACCTGGTGGTCTCCCCGGCCGTGTGGGCAGAGCACCGACCGCGAGCGGGAAGGAGGGACGGAGGAGAGGACACGACACGCACGGCGTGGCACGGGCAGGAGGGGTGGGAGGGCAGTGCAAGGGGGGCTGAGCAGGAGGAAGCAGGGTGCGGGAGCGCGGCGGGGGGAAAGCATCTGAGGCCAACGGTTCCCCAGCTCTTCCCGGTGCCCAGGCTCGCCCACACAGGCAGCCTGTGCTCTGGGTGCCACATCCACATCACCCTGGTCCGAGCTCCCCTCCCTCCGTGCCAGACCTGTTCGTAGCTCAAAATCAGTTTGATTTGTGAGAGGAGGTTTTGCGCTTTCCTGGGTTAGTCTGTTGGAGAGGTATTGCTAAACGTTTGGTATCGAACCATCAGCCCACGCCCCATCCAGCATCTTTACACTTTTCAAACAGAATTTGTTAAAGCACAGGTCCCAGTTCCCACAGCACAGAAAACCCGTAGAATGCTCCCTAGCTCAGCTAAGCATCAGGGGTATTTGCTGTAATTCACATCTGTTTTCAAAACTGGACGTTAATTAGAATCAAAATGGATGCCTTTTCCTGGAATTAACATTAGCAAGTTTCAGTAACACTTGCTAACAGACTGTTTGGGTGCTGCAGCTGCCTTGGTGTCACAACTTGACATTTCCCTGGCTGCCTTAGCCCTCAACAAGTCCGTCCGGCGCTGGCTGCAGCTGCAACACCCACGTGGTTTGGTGCAACCACCTCCTCCGCTTTATCCGCTGCTTCCTGCGCTCTACTTACGAAACGAGAACGGGGCCACGTGGGCACACGCCGCGAGCCGCAGCACCTCCGAGCAAGAGCAAGCGGGTTGCTGGGAGGAGCGCGAGCAGCAAGCGTTGCCCTGCTCGAAGCATCGGCCAGGAGATGTTCCTGCTGGGTTTGGCACCGAGCGTCTTCCGCGAAGCTGCTCCGTCGGATGGCACGGCTGGAAAGCGAACCAGGAGCTGGGTTTGGTTTGTTGACGGCCGCAGTTTTGAAACAGGCTTCCCGTTCTTTGACTGGCTCTGGTCCTGGGATGAGAGGTTTCAGAAGCAGAAAATGGCTGTAAGGTCATTTTATGGGTGCTGAGAGCCGGTCCTTAATGGAGGGATGAAGAGGGAGAGTGACCACTATAAGGTGTCCTGAGAAGTGTCTTTTCATTTTAAAAATAATATCTAGCTTAGTCTGATGCCCAGTACCTCCCGAAGGGTTATCCAGGCTTGCCTCTGGCTTCTTTCAAGGTCTGTTGCAGTCTCTGTTTGAACTTCTCGTACTTCCTTTGCACTTGCTGAATTTTGTCCTTTTCTTCTTTGTCCAGTATCATCAAGAAGTTCTGTAGCTCTGGGATGGAGAATGCATCCCACTGCAAAAACAGCAGACACAGAGGGAAAGTAAGCACACACCATTCACCTTATTGCTTTTGTGGGTTTTTTTTTCCCCCCTGAATCTGTAAAGAGGAACAATAAATGACATTTAAACATGTACCTCATCTCCAGGTAGCTTAATCTCACAGTGTCACGTTGTGAGAGATGGGATAACGAGCTACAGCATAAAGGACCATCCCAGTCCTGAGCCCCTGAGACTGCGGATTTAATAGAAATCATCTTTACCCGGGTGAATTAAAGCTCCCACTGCAAGAGAAGACACAGCTTCCCAGGGAATTTTAATATTTCTGGGAGTAATTGCTGTAGCATTCGCCTGCGCTTCTTGTTCCGAAGGGGGAGCGAGGTGCCGGCAGGATCCAGGGCTCTATTTTATTGCGGAGTTACCGAAGCCGTGTGAGCTCCAGCAGAGCTCTTGGCACGGGGCACCAGCAGCCCGACGCTGTCATAGGTGGCAG